CACAGCGTTTCCACCTGCGCTGTATTCATTCTTACATGACAGAGCCGTTCCCTCACATAGCGGTATGAATAACCAGTGTTGGTCCTGACACACCAATCTGTAGGCTGGTCTTTGGGAAAACACGTTGAGTTTTCAAAGGTAAATCCTTAAAAAGACAATCTTGACTTGCCACCATAAAAGCATAGCGTTTAGGTTCTTCCCCGGCTGATGTCTGGGCCACGCATTACTCCTTGGGAGCGTGGACACTCCCCTCCACGGAGGCCCGTGCTGCTGGGCCTGGGCCCGGCCTGGGCTCATCGGGGTCCCCTCCCCCGGGGCCCAGCTGGTCAGTGTTTGGTGAAGTGAAGCCACGGAGCATGGCAGTGGGAAGGAGGCTTTTAGGAACTTTAAACAAGTTTGCTGAGAAGGTATTTTTATTACAAATGAATTTGGGGAAAATAAGCCTTAAATCAAAGCAGAATGCTACTCCAGTCACGCACATTCTGGGTTTATGGCTTTGGACTTAAATGAGGGTGAAACGCTCCTTTGAGCCGGTCTGAAGGTGGCTCAGAGTTTTCCTGCCCAATACACACATCTCTGCCCACAGAGCTTAGCGGCGCATGCATTACCCCCGGCAGCTGAGAGGGCCAGTGTTCGGACCTGCCGCGCTGTGGGTTTGGAGGAAGTTATAATATTTGTCACAGACATGTTTTCTGGATGCTCCTTTTTTCTCTGCCCTTTTCAAGTCTTTGTGTTCCTTTGTCTTCCTCTGCGGAATCTGAGTTTTATTTAAAATTCCAGATGGCTGACTGTCCTCATTGAATGTTTATTCTTTTTTTCTCCCTCCCAGGTTTTTTTTTTTTTTTTTTTTTGAGTGGCTGTTCCCACATCAATGCCATATTTTGCTTTATTCAGGAGTTTTGGAAGTTAATGAACTATTGTATTTATAGAGTAAAAGTAAACAGCTGTTGTTCCTAATTGTGGAGTGAGGACAATAAACACGCTCACGCTGGGTTCAGCCTCACTGATTTCTCACAGAGCCCTGCTCTGCGAGCTGTTTCGCTGTAATTTTCTTTAGGTTAATGTGTGCTCAGGTTAGCTTCCCTTCGATTTTTTTTCTTTTTTTATCTCAGCTACCCCTGGTCACTGGGAAATTTCTAAAACCGCCTGGAAGGATGGATGTGCTTGTATGTTTAAGGGTCACTCGCTGGCCCCCAGAGGCCATCGGGCATGTTTGAAAGTTTACTGTGTGTGGAGAGAAAGGAAAGCATCTCACTGGGGAGAAAGCGGGGGCCTCCCGGGGGCCCGGGAGCTGGCATTTCCTGTCTGTCCCGGGAGGAGAGGAGAGCGGGCGATGACCTCACCGGGCAGGCGGGAGGGTCCGTTATCTCCCCGAGAACAATCCGGCTCTGTGCGGCCTCGGGCAGCTTCTCTGCACCCGCCCCTGTCCAGGAGGTGTGTGCGCCATGGCTGCCGGGGAGCAGCAGGCACATCTGGCGAGCTGGTGAGTCAGCTCGCAGCCGTCGGACACCGCAGCTGTCTGGGCCCGGCACGCAGGGGCCGAGGGGCTTTGGTTCCATCGGCCACTCCTGTGCCGTCAGGCAGCAGCGGCTGTGCATGTGTGTGTGTGTGTGTGTGTGTGTGTGTGTGTGGTGTGTATGTATGTGTGTGTGGTATGTGTGTGTGGTGTGTGTGTGTGTGTGGTGTGTGTACGTGAGTGTGGTATGTGTGTGTATATGCGTGGTGTGTGTGGTGTGTGAGTGTGTGCGCATGAGTGTGTGTGTGTGTGTGTGTGTGTGTGGTGCGTGAGTGTGTGTATGTGTGCACATGAGTATGTGTGTGGGTGTGGGGGGGGTGTGGTGTGTGTGTGTGTGTGTGGTGTGTGTGTGTGGTGTGTGTATGTGAGCCACATAAGTTTTTGTTTTCTAAAATATATTTTTATTAATTTCAAAGAGGAAAGGGGAGAAGGAGGGAGAGATGGAAGCTTCAAAGAAGGGACTCACTGATGGGCTGCCTCCTGCACACCCCACAGTGGGGATGGAGCCGGAAACCCAGGCACAAGTGCCCTGCCCAAGAATTAAAACTTGACCTCTTGGTTCATAGGTCGAAGCTCAACCACTGAAGCACACCAGCCAGGCAGCCACATACGTTTTGGAGGGGCACACGCTATAGAGAACGACTCAGAAGAGGTCACAGGCACCTGGGCTTCTCTCACATCACGTGAAGCCTGGGGTCACGCTGTGGGTGGGGTCCCTGCTTTCGGCCGACAGCGGTGGCTCAGGAGGCCTCGGGAGACAGCCCCCGGCAGTCAGGGTCCACACCGGCCTGAGACGTAAACTCACATTTATCCTAAAGCAGCCGGTGAAGGCGCGGCGGGAGGGTTCCCGGGAGGGGATTCAGCCGCAGCCACCCCTCCGGCCCCCCAGGGTGCCCGTGTGTGAGGCCTGTGTCTCCGGGGAGACGCTGTGCTGGAGCAGAGCCTCCCGTGGGCCTGCCGCTTCCTGCGCCTCCCGTGCGTGTCCTGTCCACTCGGGAGCGAGCGGTGCAGGGAGCCCGGGGCCGGGCACCAGCCTGGAGCTCGGCTCAGGACATGGGGCTCAGTGTCTCCCTCTTTACGGGTCCCTCTTTGAATCTCAAAGTGAAATTGGGGGAGAGATGGGGAGACTTTTCTGAAAATCACAAAGCACGGTGGTCCCAGCTGTCCTAACGGGGACAGAGGGGCAGTTCGGGAAAGTTGCGCTTCTGAACGGACAGGGCCTCGGGCTGGCAGGGCCCAGTGAGCCCGTCTGCTCTGGGCCGTCCCCGGCCTGCCCCTCTGCCTCCCCGTCTGCCCACATCTCTGTCCCCTGAGCGCCCCTCACCACCGCTTCCCTCCCGTCTCGTTCTAAGGGACCTTTGTGGCTTCCAGAAACCTGCTTCCAGTTTGTACTTCCTCCGAAGTTCAAGGCTTCCCGGCTCTGCCTGGCTCTGTGCCTACTTCCCCACAGCCGTGACCCTGTCCTGCGGGTTCATTGCTGCCTCGGACTCGCTCTCTTTCCGCTGGCATCCCCGTGTCTGCGATGAGGCGGGACGAAGGCAGCCGGGGGGCTGTCTGGGCTCAGAGACACTGAAAGGTGGCCGCTGGAGGCAGCTGGCTGTAGGGAGAGTGGCGCTCACAGCCTGAAACGTGAGCTCACCGGAGGCGAGGAGCATTCCCCTGCCGAGAAGCTCAGTCTTTTCCCGGAGAACCTGCTCTCCCATGCGCCCGGCCCCAGCCTCCCAGCGGCCAGGTCAGCAGCCTCCTGTGACTCAGCTGAGCCCTGGGACCTGACCGGTCAGGTGAGACCAGGCCATGCCGAGGGCCTCGGGGCTGCCGGCCTCCTCACCTGCCTTCCCCACGGCGCCCTCCCCGCTTACCTGTCCGCCAGAAAGCAGGCGGCACTGCTAGTGCAGTCAGAGAGAGCTCCTGGGTTAATGGGAGTGTGGAGGGCACTGTGGAGAGGGGCCAGGAAGAGCCAGCGGGATGCTGAGCTCCCCACCCCCCCGGCCGCCCCAGGAAACAGGGTAGCGCCGGACAGCTGCCTGGCCAGGGCTGCGGCGTTGGTCAGGGGACCCAGCCGGCTGAGAGCATCTTTGCTGGGGGAGGTTCTGATAGGCCGGAACCTCTCCATGGCAACCCCACCAGAACCGGAGGGTGAGGAGCCTGCTCACATGTCCAGGCAGGTCAGGTCAACCTCGGAGTCACCCTGACACCTGAGCATGGCACCGCCCACACCTGGTCTGCAGCAACCACACATCCCGGTGGCTTTCCTAATGAAAGGGGCCGGCACCTGACCCTCTGCCACCACCTCTCCGGCACCCCTGGTCCAGACGCCCCCAGTCTGCCCCCCTTCTCTGGCCCCTGGCTCCTCATGTTTGTGAGGCTCGCTCTGCTCTAGCCCTCTGGTGTCAGCGGCAGGCACATGCCAGCCCAGGGCCGCTGCAGACAGCAGGAGGGAAATCTACCTTAAATTTAAAAAGACCTAAGGAATGGAAGCGTCCGTCTGCACAAAACTTCTACAAATACTTGTAGCAACGTTATTCATAGCAGCCCCACGCGGGACAACCCAAAGCCAGCAGCTGGTGAATGGATATGCTAGTGGTGGCATAGATCCACTCAACGGATGTCGCCTAGTGATAAAAAGGACATGTGTGACACATGGACAAACCTGGAAAAGAGCATCTGCTCAGTGAACACTATGAAGTGATGAGAGCCTTAGGCCAGCCGTGAAAGATAATGTTGGAGTTTTCATTTCTATGAAACTTCTGGAAACAGCGTATCCATAAGGCAGAAAGCTGAGTGGTTGGTTGCCCAGGGCTGGGGAGGATCTGGGCAGGAGGGTGACAGCTAAGAGGTCATGGTTTCTTTTTTGGGGTGACAGAAAGGTTCTCAAATCGATTATCGTGAAGATTGCATAATTGTGTGATTCTAGTAAAAACCACTGACTTGTAAATTTGCACGGGTGAATTGTATGGTGTGTGAGTTATATCTCAAAACAATTAAAAATAAAGATCCAAGTGACTTTTGTCTTAAAACGTCCCTGTCACTTTTACAAGTGGCGTATAAAAGTCTTAGAGAATTCAGTTATTACATCTAAAGTTTCAAAGGCTACTCTTGGCGATTCTTGTTTTCATTTCCCTGTATTTTTTAACGCTTAATTTCTTGGGTGCACATATGCTGGTGTTCAATATTTAAGTATTCTGCCCTAACCGGTTTGGCTCAGTGGACAGAGCATCTGCCTGCTGACTGAAAGGTCCCAGGTTCAATTCCAGTCAAGGGCATGTACCTTGGTTGCAGGCACATCCCCAGTAAGTGGTGTGCAGGAGGCAGTTGATCGATGCTTCTCTCTCATTGATCAATGCTATTCCTCTCCCTTCCTCTCTGTAAAAAATCAATAAAATATGTATTTTAAAAAATTGAAGTGTTCTTTTAGCGGGTGGACTTTTTCTCTCGTGTTACTGTGCGCAAGAGAGTGCCTGACCCCGCTGTTTCTCGCTTCCAGCATTTCCACGATGGACGGAAGGCCCAGCAGCACATAGAAACCTGCTGGAAGCAGCTGGAGTCGGTGAGTGAGGGGCCGGCTGGCCCCGGGAGGGTCTGGGCCGGTTTTCTAACCGGAACTGGATTTCAGCTCAAATCAGTCAGTCTGTTCAAAACACCAAAGAAAACGCCTCGGGAGATTTTTCTAATCTGAGTGGAGAGTGTTTCTAGAAACCTCTATCTAAAGGAAAGCATTGAGCCAAAGAGTTCCAGGAGAGTGTTTTTCTAAAAACCACATGTGGAGAACACAGATTAGGCAGTTGGGGTGAACGTAGACGCAGATTTTAAAACAGCGTCCTGACACAGACAGACGGAGGGAAAGGCCTGGGGCAGGGGGTGGAGTGGGCTGGGGGGGGTCCTTGGGGGATAAAAGAGGACACATGTAATACTTTCAACAATGAAGAATTGTTTAAATAAATAAAATAGCATCCTGAGTTATGACACAGCCATCCGACGGGAGGAGAATGCTCTTTGTGGGGTGAGGGTAAAGGCCAGTGCTCAGGGAGAGCTCCTGGTCCCGTTAGTCACCGCCCCCCTCTCCCCTCTTCCCCTCCGTCCCTCTGCTTCCAGAGCAAGCGGCGATTCGAGCGGGATTGCAAGGAGGCTGACCGGGCCCAGCAGTACTTTGAGAAGATGGACGCGGACATAAACGTCACGAAAGCGGATGTCGAAAAGGTAAGGTGAAAGTGGGCCCGCCTCTCGCTTCCCCTTTTCAGTGTCCCGTCACGCACCCTCCCAGGAGGCGGGTCCCCAAGTTCTCCTTTCTGATGGGCCCACCAAAGTCCACTCCACATGGGATCGTTTTCCATTTGTGTCAGGGCCTGGGGGACCTGAGGCTGAAACCCAGGCGACGGGGGCGCTGGGCAGTTTGCTGGTTTGTTCAGGCCCCGGGATGATAGCAGGAGGCTTAGACCAGGCCCGGGCCCGGGGCTCGGTGTCTGGAGCTTGTGGCTTCACTAATGGCTTTTCACAGAAAAGCCGCCTCTCGGAACCCACAGCGGATGTGCAGCCAGAGCTGGGCTGTGTCTGGTGCTTCCGTTAGACAGATAAGAGGCTCCCCGCCCCGGCCTCACTTCTGAGTGAGTCACCCGGGGGCTAGCAGGTTGCAGCAGACGCCCAAGTGCACGTCCTCTGCATGCGAGTCCTCTGTTCCTCCGAATGCACTGGCGTCGGCCACGGGGAGTGTCAGAGAGCGTGTGCTGGGGCTTCCTGCGTTTGCTCCCTCGAAGCGCCGTGTTCTTTTTGTGACCGTCCTCAGGAGGGTGTACACAGAAGCAGGCAGTTAAATAACAGTCCTCATTCCTCACTGCGCTGCCCGGGGCGGTGCTGGCGGCCACAGCCTCCGGCCTGCCCCGGGAAAGCCTGCCTTTTCTGAAGCTTCTTTCACCAGCCGTTTCTGCCAGGCCCGTGGCAGACGAGAGGAGTTGGAAAAGTGTGCATTTGTGATTTCGTTATTTGCCCCTCCTGCCAGATTCCTTGCTTCAAGCCAAGGTGTATGTCAGTATGCCTTCCTCTAGAATTATCTAGTCCGTTAAAATACACATTCTCATTTATTTACTTACCCAAAGGTATACTAACAGGCTGGTACAGTTACTATAAATTACCATACATTTGTTGTGAGTTCTCATGAAACAGGCAACTATAAGAAATAGTATCCAATTACAATAGATTGACCCTGACCTGGCTGGTGTGGCTCAGTTGGTTGAGCGTCATTCCATGTACCAAAAGGTCCCTGGTTAGCTGGGACCGGTTTGGCTCAATGGATAGAGCGTCAGCCTGTGGACTGAAGGGTCCTGGGTTCAATTCCGGGCATGTACCTTGGTTGCGGGCATATCCCCAGTAGAGAGTGTGCAAGAGGCAGCTGATCAATGACTCTCTCAACGATATTTCTAACTCTCTATCTCTCTCCCTTTCTCTCTGTATAAAATCAATAAAAAATATTAAAAGAAAAAAGGTCCCTGGTTGGATTCCCGGTCGGGGCACATGCCCAGCTTGCGGGTTCAGTACCAAATTGGGTCCCTGACGGGGAATCGAACCAGGGACCTTCTGGTTCATGGAAAGATGCTCAACCAACTGAGCCACACCAGCCAGGGCTCATTTAATCTCTTCTGACTTTATTTGTTCTTATTCGATATTATGTTTTTCACGTGGAATGTAGAGCACGTAACTTTCCTATGTTAATATTAGAGCCCAATGCCTTGCCAAACTCTTTTCATTCCTATTTTGACTTTTCTATAGAGACAGTCCTATCATCAGCATAGAAGGACGGTTTTAGTCCTTCTTTTGCAATCCTTATGCCTTTTGTTTATGTTCTTATCTCACTCTACTGGTTCTGACCTCCATTAGCAGTAATTGTGGACGCCTTATCTTGTGCTTGATTATAAAGAGGACTTCAACTGTTTGTCCATTTGGCATGATTTTAATGTGACCTTTATCAGGTTAAGGGATTTCCCTTCTTTTCCTATTTTGCCAAGAGGTTTTGTTAAGCTTGACTTGGTATTGAATATCGCCAAATACATTTTCTGCTTCCTTTCATCCCATTAATGGGAGAGGTTTCATGGATCAATTTTCTTATATCAAACCAAATTAGCATTCCTGGGACAATTCCAACTAGGTCACCGTGCATTATTTTATTTCACTCAAGATTTTTGCGTCTGTAGTCATTGAGATTAGTCTGTAATGGTTCTTGTCTGTTCTGGTTTGCTTTCCTTATTAGTTTTGCAGTCAAGTTACTCATTTTTCTATATCCTGAAATAATATGTGTGAGGTGAAATGAACAGTTCTTAAATGTCCTGTGATACTGTATCGTGGGAAAGTTTTTAACTATTGATTCGATTCCTTTAATGTCTGCTGCTTTGGTTGATCTTGGGGAAATAGTTTTTTTTAGAAATATCTCCATTTCATCTTAAGGTTTGAAATGCCTTGGCTAAATGTTGCCATAATCTCTCACCTTAATTTTTGATGCATATATTGATTATTCATAAGATTGTCTATTCATATTCTCCCCAGCCCACTTTTTAGGGTAATTTTTCCAAAATCATTTTTATTACAATTTTCCAAGAACCAACATTTGTCTTGGTGCAACTTCTCATTTCTACTTCTGTTTTCTATTTCATTTCCTTTCCTTCAACCTTCCCCTCAAGGTCTTTGTGTGTTTTTTTTGTTTGTTTGTTTGTTTTATAATCCCCACCCGAGGATATTTTTACATTGATTTTTAGAGAGATTAGAAGAGACGGGGAAAGACAGAGAGAAATATTGATGTGAGAGAAACACACATCAATTGGTTGCCTCCTGCATGGGCCCGACCAGGGCCCGGGCAGGACGGAGGAGCCTGCAACTGAGGTACATAGGAATCGACCCCGGGACCCTTTGGTCCACAGGGCGAAGCCCTAACCACTGAGCCAAACCAGCGAGGGCTCTGTCCATGTCCTTGGATTTCATCTATTGCCCTTTAAATTTTTCTTTCTACAGATGCTTACCTCATTTCAACTTTTCTTCTTTTCTACTATAAGCACTTTTATCTGCAGCCCACAACATTTAATGTGCGTTATTATTATTGTTCACTTCCTGATCTTTTTCATTTCTTTTATTTTTAATCTCTCCTATGATTTATTTAGAAGCGTGTTTTAAATTTTTCAGTTGTAAGACATAATTAAACATATCTTTTGTTGTTGTTATCGATTTCTAATTTAATGGCATCGTGGTTGTAAAGCCCGAGTTTGGGTCTTTCATGGTTGCTGAGGCCTAGCATGGTCTTTTTTTTTTTTTAATATATTTTTTATTGATTTTTTTTACAGAGAGGAAGAGAGAGGGATAGAGCGTTAGAAACATCAATGAAAGAGAAACATAGGTTAGCTGCCTCTTCCACACCCCCTACTGGGGATGTGCCCGCAACCAAGGTATACATGCCCTTGACCAGAATCGAACCTGGGACCTTTCAGTCCACAGGCCAACGCTCTATCCACTGAGCCAAACCGGTTTCGGCTGTAGGTGTTCTTTAAGGAATTGAAAAGACTGTGTGTTCTCCAGCTCGTAGTTGCAGCATCTACATATTTCTATCAGATCAGACTTACTGATTATGTCATCTAAATCTTCCCGCCATTAAGGATTTTGGGGTCAGCTCGTTGTAACCTTTGTTGAGGGAGACAGGTCACCTCTCTGAGCCTTGCTTTCCTGTCGGCACAGCGGGAATGCAGCGCAGAGGCTGGTGAGAGCGCTCCGTGAGTTAATAAGTACAAGACACTCCCAGCCATTATGGCAGTGGCCAGTGATCCGTAATTTAACTGTGTGAGGATAATGGTGGAGGGTTTGCCATTTCCTGTCCATTTGCTCTTCTACTGGGAAGTTATTTTATTAACAAATACAGTTTACTAGCCGGTTTGGCTCAGTGGATGGAGTGTCGGCCTGCAGACTGAAGGGTCCTCGGCTCAATTCCGGTCAAGGGCATGTTCCTTGGTTGCAGGCATATCCCCAGTGGGGGGTGTGCAGGAGGCAGCTGATCAATGTTTCTCTCTCATCGATGTTTCTAACTCTCTATCTCTCTCCCTTCCTCTCTGTACAAGAACAATAATATATATATATATATATATATATATATATATATATATATATATATATTTTTTTTTTTTTTTTTTAAGAAATACAGTTTAGAATTGTCACATCTTCCATGAGATTTAATTGGTCATCACTGTGCTGTCATCTTCTTTTCACGCTCATGCTCATGCCTTGAAGTCCAGTTGGCCTGCTTTTGGGAGTTAGCTTTGCCTGGCAAATCTCTCCCAGACTGTCGCCCCCCCCCTCCACCTTGCAATTAAAAGAAGGCTTCCCCGGGATTGCTCCCCAACATTTGTATGAAAACTTGCTATGGACCAGGGATGCCGCCCTGGCCAGACGCCTCCCGGCCACACAGTGTAACGTGCAACCAAGTGGGCAAGAGAGTACTCTCTAACGGGTCAGTATTTCAAGCCTCCTTTGGGGATGACTTTTTAAGAATCAGAATTCTAAGTAACCATTCACTTATATGAGAAAATCTCTCTGGTAACTATTTTTCCTTACATGTTGCTTCTGCTTGGTACAGCTTTTTATCCAACTGAATTCGGAATCTGTTTTTCTGTTTCCACATAGCCCCCAACATGAGTCACCCCATTCTTTTTTTTTCTAACTTAAGGGATTTCTGGCGGAATCATGATCTTTATGGTATTCTTGTTTTTTACAAACACTGAATTTGTTGGCGGAATTCCTAAGTAACGTTCCCATTCATTCTTCTTCCTCCCCTCCCTCATTATTCATTGACTGTGCTGGCGAGATGGGGGCGGCACAGACACCAACGTGTAATCACCCAATCCTTGACTTCAAGGAACATGCCTTTCTCTTTCTTTCTAATATTACTTCACTGTCTGGTGAATCTCCCCTCCTCTCCCCTGAACAACTCTGGAATGGCATTTCGGTGTCAAGGTTTTCCCAGTCCCTCTGCTTTGGCGCAATAGCGTGCTGGACGAACGTGGGCAAGAGGCAGCACCTGCACCCCGAATTCTGGTGGTGCTGCGTCGGTTAGTGTGGCGTTGGGGTTAAAAAGGAAAAGGTTATCAAAATGAATGGAATGTGGACTAATATTTCCGAACAGAGAGAACAGTGTTTGCTAAATGCATGCATTAAACCGAGTTCATCCATGTCAG